AAAAAGATGACTCAAAATATTTTTGAAATATGCAGTTTTTGTACAGCTCGACAAGCTCTATCGAACTATGTAAAAATATCCAGGAAAAATGCATTATTCCATTTTTGAATTACTGGCACCGTACTTTTCTACACCAAAAAAGTATCATATTTCTGAAAATCTCTTAAATTCGACATTAAAACGTCTTCATAATATTTACCATTTGGTACCAATAAATTCAGTCTTTAATGCACTTTAATTTGGTATAAAATACATTTGTGATATCATTGATACTTTAAGTTGTAGAGGAGAGGGAAAGGTTATGTAACACCCTATATATCTAAATTTTCAATGCCTTAAAATTTGAATATCTCGATCCGAGCTCGCCATTGACAGCTCATATTTTTAATTTGGTAGTTTCTCGTTGAGGGTGATAATTTGATCCCAATATAGCTAATCAAATCAACTGACACGACAAACAGTTCCATTGTAAGTAAGAAATACCTAAATTTAAATATTTTTTGTCTGATATTTTAACTATAAACACAGCTCGATAAATCTTGATTGCAAGTGCCAACGTGAAGTCAGTCCATCTGAATGTATCCGATTTACAAAAAGAAACATTGGTTTTTTCTTTGAGCCTCAGAAAAAGGCTTGTTTGACACATTTCTGGTTTGTCATTACTTTGAAGTGTTAATATTAATTGGTTTTTGTTTTGATTAATAGAGCCCCACAAATCTTTCCTGTGTCACAGATACGAGACTTCACTCTGCTGTGATCTTGAGACGCAGTGACATTTTCACCATCTGCGATAGTCTCCGCAAATATCTCTGCTCTACCATTTAACAAAAGTACAATGCATCAATAGTATTTGTAAATCTATATAATATTTTCGTTTACTCAAAAGTTCATCCAATATTAATGACGATAAAGCTTGACAATGCAATGTGTTTAAGCATCGCGCTGTATAATAGCAAGCGAAAGTTATTGATCAATATGTGAAGCAGTCTAAAAACATTGCTAGGATCTTAACCATAATAGAAAAGCATTCTAAATAACATCCAGCTAAAACAAAATGTAATGCCGATCAGAAAGCTCATAGACCCATTCTTCCTTGAATTACTAGATCGCATTAAATGATCTTTATCAGAATTATTAGTTATATATCATCACGCAGTACCTAACCACAGATTTTGAACACTTTCATAATAGGAGATAAAGACAGAGTAGATAATAGATGAGTATATAGTGTTTATATAGTTGTTGCCTGAAGAACTATAATGATAAAATCCTAGACGCAATGTTATCTACAATTGTTTGCTTTAGATATGATTCAATTATTTTAACTCGATTTCTCAATTCATTTTTTTCTACACAACAATGTTTTTTTTTATTATGTTTCCATCAATCATCAATTATCATGTGTGATCATTCTCACATGTACATAGATATAGTTCTTTTCAATTGAATATAAAACAACTTTTGTCTCTATCTTAATATTTTCATTCATATAAAGGTCAATTTTATTTTAATAATCATTGATAATAATTAAAATATTCATAAACAAGGAAAATAGTCTTTTACATGTTGAGGCAAACAATTATCACCATGTAGACATGAAGGAATTAGTTTTGTACAATTGATTCGTGTTGTATTTCTTGTAAAATTTCGTGTTACCTCTCTCAATGGTCGATAACACACAGAAAAACGAATAATATTCGTTAAAGATATTTTCCAATCAATTAGAAATTGTTCAATATAATCATTGTGAGCTTCAATAAGATTAAGTTTAACCAGATGAGGATATTTAATGATTGGTAAATCTTGACTATTCTTCTTCGATCGGCTATATAATTTCTTCGTTTGCGGCTTGTTATTGAATAAAGTTAAACTTTTTATAAATGGAAATGATTGAGCAATTCGAAGAAAAAATTCATGTTCGAAAGGATGTTCATCAAATAATGTTATTTCATTGACATGTTCAAAGAATCCATTAGAAAAATTATTTGTTATTTTATCGTAATGTTTCAGCCTATAAGGATATGAATAAATAAGACATTGACCTTTTTCAGCCATTGGAAAATAATCAACACAAGAAACAATTTGATTATATTGAAAATCTTTAAATGTATGTTGAATATCTTGATTTGATGGTAAATTGATTTGATTATGAAGATGAATAATAGTACGAATGTTAAACGAAAATTTATTTAATTGTGACATATGATTGATAATATTTTTTTTCAGCTCATTGCCATCAACAAATGTTTGTTTACCACAAACTATCAGGTACAAATCGAGTTTTTCTAAATTTGACATTCGCTGCAAAAGTGGTACAATGAATTCATCATAATCATGCGTATTCATATTACAATGTAACGAAAAACATTTTAAATTAGGTAGTTTTTCCTAGAAAATAATATAATGAATTCATTCGAATAAATTAAATACTGAGCAAAACAAATTACCTTATTACTAATTGTTAGATCTGAACAGTGAATCGTAGAAACATCAACATGAAGTGTATGAAGTCGATTGAAACGTCCATCAAGTAAATAAAGGCAATCATTGAAAGTTTTCAAAGTGACGTGTAATTCTAAGAGAGTTGAAGAGAAAACAGTTGGAACTGAATTGAAAAATGATATTTTGAATGAATAACAACGTGCAGATGAATCGAAATTTAAATATTTTAAATTGTCGAATAAAGAAAAGATTTGTATAAACATAAATGCTTGTCTTATTGAACTTTGTTTGTGTACAATACCATCGATAGCAATTGATGTAATTTGTTTTCTTAACGTGGAATCGAAAACAGATTCTCCAAAATAAAAAAAAAATGAAAAAAAATATTTCTAAGATTTTATTTTGATCATCAAATTAATATATTTATCAGAGTTGTGTATCGCCTACTTAGAGAAGAGGACGATGATAGCATGGTCGTTCCGGGCTCGTTCCTTCCATCTTTTGACATGACTACCGCCTGGTCAAGCTTTGACCATCTTAACTGCTAAAACTTCTTCCAATCGAACCTCGAAAAGCCAAGTCAATTTTAATATCTTTGAACGACATCGGTGTCTTTTTTGTGATTCATCAAAAAGATAAACACGGTGTCATCGATTTCATACTTATTATAAAGAGAGAGTAAAATATCATTTTCGAAATTCTACTACTAATGGTTTTTGTCTATCGAAACATCTTAGTTTTATAACGCACGTTACAGGCCACACCTTTAAAGTGGATTTAGGTGCGGATGTGGATCTGATTTTTCTCTTGATTCACATCTACATTCTTTATTAAATGAAACTTAGACTCTGAAAACTGAAGAAAAGGGATTATATTGTGAATAGGCTCATTCTTTATGAGATATCGTTAGTTTTATTACTTCGTTTTGATACTCATCAATTAAATGCATAAAGTAAATAATAATTCGTATCATTAAATATTAATCTGATATCAAAATCGATCTATCTCAAAATTTAGTGAATCTCATCGAAACGAGCTTAATATTTGAATTCATCTTGAACTTGAATCTGCTCAAATTCAAGTGTAGAACAAATTAAGATGTAAATCAGTGCCGCATAATTGTATGTTTGTCTAGTTAAGTTTTGTTAAATAATATATACTTTTATGGCTATATTAACGTTACGTTGTTGTTCATACGTAAGTGTGAACAAAAGAGGTAATATGCATTTAGAAACATTGATGTAATAAATCTGTAAAAAAAAATCGGCGACAGAATATCTCTAGTTAACATGAAGCGATTGCTCTTTCCTCTCATTTGACGAGACGCGGAGTGACCGCGCCGCTCAGTAATAACACTTTTGAAGTGATGGCTGCCTCCACTACTGCCTGAAGATTTATGTTGTCTTTTGTGCTGTTCTTACCTCGATCTTTAGGGCGCAGTGCACATCTCTGGTATTTATTCTTTTCTATAGATCTGTAATGTACATGTGATTCTCTTGAGAGAAATATTAATAAATTAGAAAAATGATTTTATGATAAAAGAAAACGTCTAATTATCTAATTTTAATTGTATAAATTATATTTTAATTTTCATAAATTAAATATTGAACGAATCGAAGAAAACTTTTTACCAGTAAAAAGAGATAGTGTTGTTTCTACGTTGAGATTAAATAAACCAAATCCATATAAATTCGGATAATTTGTAGCACGAACTATACGTTTCATAGATGATGATTCAAGATTAAGCCATTTGATTTGATGATGAATTTCTGGTAAAATTTTTAAACAAAATCGATCAAGCATTGGATCAGATAATGGATAGATGAAATCATCCGAGGAATATATCATCAATGTCAAACGATTTGTAAAAATTGAATCACGTACTATTTTATTAAGTCGTTTATTAACACCTATTAAAGAATATAGTACTTCGACCTTCAATAATTTTTTTAAAATAATCATAAGAATTTCATCTGGTAAAGTATTTAATTCAACCGATAAATGCTCCATTGTTATCTTTACCTGTATGTATATATTCCTTTTTGAAACATAGGTTTGAATACTTATATAGATATACTCACTTCATCTATGTGACCGACGTCGTCAATAAGAACAATGATGTATCTTTCTATAATCTCCATTGGCAATGAATGAATAGATGCAAACCTGGCACTGCATTTCTCTCTCTCTTTGTCTTGTTCGATAAGTCATATACGATAGATATTTTCAAAATCTCTTTATTCATATTGTGCAATACGCATAATAACCAAGTTAAAATGTTATTTGTGTTTGACAGAGTCAATTCTTTGAAATTTAAAGAGTGTTTTATTGAAATTGGAATAAAATATTTGAAAAGATGACATGCAATAATTGTTAATATAAATTTCTTATTGTTTTATTTTAAATGAAGACATTTCGTTAGTATGTCAGAGAAATTAAAAGAAGATCAGTTGTTGTGCATTTAGTTCCACGAGAATAGTGGGGGTGTGGCTTAACAAAGACGACTTACAGCCACACTCAATACCCAACATCTAATTTATCATCTCCACTGTCAAATGAAAATGAATTATTATTTCTGTAGTTCTGTTCATATAGAACGACAGATATAGTTCAAATTCTATTTCTTCTATGAGAAAAATCAAATAACTTCTTCCACTTCAAATATATCAAACCTAAGAAATAATTACAAAATGAAAGTATAATGATTCACAATAGAATCCTAAAATGAACATTGCATCTCAAAATTAATATTTCATCTGAGATTCGGTCTTTTATTGCATTGATAAAATTCGAACAATAATTATCTCAAAAAAATTTCACGAATCTCGACGAATAAAAAATATGCTATTTATTTTTGAATGTTGGTGAACGAGTCAAGAATTGTTTTTTCCGTAAATAATCTTGATGTGATCTATTTGTGCGGTTAGCAGATTTGTTTTCCTAGAGGCAACAGATGCAAATTCCTTTTCGATGACGAATATCAGTTCCATCATTGATCATTTGAGAATATCATACAAGTCTCACAACGATCTTTCTTTTCTCTTTTTTTCCTCCTTTTCTTGATGCATTCTTATTTGTCGTGCTTTTGTCGTCAAATCCTTCTTTTCCAATTTTTCATAGAAGTTAAGATTCAGAACACGGAAAAAATTACAACAGAAATGCCTAGCTTATCTTCATCATCAATCTAATACTGGTGTCAATATCTGTATTACTCGCATTCTGATTTCAACTCATGTTAAATAACCGTTTCTGCAATTTCCATATATGAAGAAGCGATATCGGATTATCGGCATTTACTTTTTCCTGATCTGCAAATTCATTTTTGAAAAGTTCCGATCCTGATACGCAGTCTCTTAAAACAAAAACAAGTTTTACTTTAAAATGAAATACAATAAAAAAATTCAGAAATGTGAAGGATATACTTCGGAAAATTTCAGAAAGTTTTTGTTTACGTAGATAAAAGAAGATTCAAGTTTTCTAGAGTCACAAGTTCAATTTTAGATGAAAACGACTGCTATTACAAACCTATATTTTCATGATTGATCTTGGTTCCACTCATCTTTATGCCTCATATCCTTTCACGTACAAGTTTTTGTCATTCATGAACATCTTTGATACCAGCAAAACGAAGCCGAATATTTGATCTGATAAAAATTATCAAAAGAGTAATTATTAGAAGATGATTGGGATAACAAAATATATTTATTTTTAATAATCGAAACGCAAACAATAGATCATCTTTTACTATTCTCTTCTCTTGTCATGTATTATCGAATCAATTTGACCTCTTGCAGAATAATCAGATCATAATCTCGAAACACTGTTCTTTGTTCGAGCTCTGATATCATCTCTTATTTCTGGGCATTTTTCTCTTTTAATAAGCAATACTTCGATGAATATAATTAAATACAAAATGTTTTGTAAGATGTTTTATAATATTTCTATTTTTATAATTTTCATCAGTGAATTTAATTGTATTTAGTTTCATAAAATATTATACCATCATCTTCTAATAATTCATCTATTTCTATCTAATATTATTCTATTTTTGAAAAGAAAATAGATAAGTATTAACAACATACTCCAATATAAGATTTATTAATTTTTATTGATTGATTAAGGTATGGTAGAGCTGTATGGAAAGTTTTTCTTATCTATAGAGAATTTGGAAAGTTATTTACCAATATTTAATCCTTTACTAAAACAATTTCTTACTTGAGGATCACAAAAAGAATATAGGTAAAATATGTTTTTATTACGAATATGTTTACAACCATGATGAGATCGTGTGATAGAAGAATTAATATGAAACAAACGAAGAAAGAATTTCGTGAGGCAAAAAGAAAATTAGAAATATTTCTTTCTTTCTGTTTGTAACATTATTCAATAGACATAATATAGTAAGAGAACAAAATGTATTTAAATAAACAATATTGATTTAATTATCTGCGGAAAAAAAAATGTTTGCTATATACTTTATTTCAGATATGAGTGAACAAATGATAAATTTTGATGATATGATTCAAAAATAACAAACTGTTATTGAAAATAACTCTGATCTTTTCATTTTTATTCACATATTGATATTTCTACAATAGAGACTTCTACTTCATTATTAACAATCATGTAACAAAAAAAAACATTTTATAATTATATTCATCTTTTTCATATTATTTTTTTTTGCAAAAGAAGCATTATTTAATTCTTTGTTGATTATTAGCACTAAGTTTTTTGATAAAAAGGAGAGGTAGTTAAGCAATGAAATTGATCGCTTCTCGAAATCAAGTTTCTTGTTTTCTCCATAGTCAATTCAGATGTCAGAAGTCGATTGTCGTTCGAGTTAAACCGTTAGACTTCATTTCAGCTTCACGCAACTGACTCAAAACTCGATATAATCGGTCTCATTTCGCGTTACTAACGTAGTGTTATACAGAAATTTTGTCTCTCTTCTTCAACTCCTTTGATTCGACTTATATATCAGATACAAGTTCTTTTTTTTCCTCTATCGAATGGTATATAGAAGTATGATAAAACATTGTACTTTTCCTTTTTTCTTTAGATGACAGTGTTCCCTCGTATATACAGCATGAGGACAGCATTGGCGAAATTCTTCTCCTGTTGAGCTGTGAAAGTAGGAATTCACTTTGAAATATATATCATTCCATAGGCTTTTCAAAACTCTACAAAATGATACTATTGCATTAAGCTCAGTTTGTGGGCAAGATGCTTTAGTCAAACACACAACATTCATGAATGCGAAAAGTTACCTTTTTTGACTGATATTTGACGGATTTTCGTCAGAATAATTAGGCTTTATATAAAAAAACAAATGATATATTTGGGATCAGTATAAGAAATTGAGTCAATCTTGGGTGAATTTTGTAACATGTATAGATTGGTTCAGTTTTCTATGCTGTGCCTTTATATACTCTCGATTTCGATAAAAAGCCTGATTATTCTGATCAAAACCGATTAAGTATTAGCAAAAAAAGGCGACTTTTTTCACCAATAAACATTGTGCGTTTGATTAAAATCTCTTGTCCACAAATTAAGCTCAATGAAATAGTATCATCTTTTAGAGCCTCAAAAAGCTTATCGAATGATATATATATAATTCAAAGTGAATCGCTATCTTCACTGGTCAATAGGAGGAGTTTTTTGCCATTGCTGTCTTCATACTGTGTATACGAATGAATGCCGTCATCTAAAGAAAAAAAAAAAGAAAAGTACAATATTCTGACATACTCATATATGCCATTTGATAGATGAAATAAAGAACTTTCATTTGATATATGATGCAAATTGGAAGAGTAAAAGATGAGAGAAAAACATTTCATAGATACAATACATAGCACAAGCCTATAAAGGATAGATAATATCGAGCTTTGATTCGGGCGCACGCACCCACAATGAAGTCTAACTATCTAAACCGAACGGTAATTGACTTGCGACAGTTGAATTGACTATTAGGGAAAAATAAACTTAATTTCTGGAAACAGTCGATTTCATGTATTAATAAACCTCTTCCGTTCGGAAAGTTTGTGGTTCTTCTACGAAAAAAGCTTCATTTTTCTAAAACCTAAGTGAAAAATTAAAATCGCACTTTGTGAAATTGTAGAGCACATTTCCTCTTCAATCTAAACCTTTCTCCAGCTTTCTAGTATTTAAAATAGCTGAGAAATGTTGGACACACGAGCAAGAAAAAAAAGATGAAAATCTATTTCGAGGAAACCGGAAAATGTTGTATGATGTTGAGAATAAATCTTTTGTTTGTCATGAAGACTTGCAATATAATTGAACACGAGCGTGTGACGCATATCTTTTCGATGTATGCTTTTCATACTCTCCATGTTGCAAACCTAGAGAGAAGCTCACGAGACTATGACGGCTGAGACCTGTAAGTCACGCTTTGAATCGTGAAGTTTTTAATAAAAATCCTGTAAAATGAGGATGTCTTGTCGAAAAACCAGCTGATCATAGTGCATTCGAAAGTAGAAAATCTGGACTACTCAGCCATGTATGAAACTTGAAAAATGTTAGTTTGGAGAGAGGTTAAAATTTCTGACAGTAAAGAGCTGATTAAATGAGTCGAAGAGCGTTCTTCTTGCACAACAGTAAGCCTCGTCAATGTGATTATTTGCTTCCACTATAGCATATTGTTTCTTGCTTCTCTTTATTCTGTCAAAACATGATAAAAGAAAGAAAAAAAAGTGACCAGCTCTTTTTCATCGTTGCATTTATAGGCACGAGTGTATGGAAGAGATTTGTTAACGTATTTGCTCTTGATACAAGCGTTCGTCACCTTTCGCTTCGTCATATCTTGCGTTGTTTTTCTTTCTCTTCATATATATTATCTGTGGTCGTGTTGTCTTCGAGAGTTGGAAGGTCTTTTATCATTTTCGAACACGACTGAACAATAACAGCATGTAAGTACCGACAATTAATATAGTTAATGGTTTTGACTGAGAGTGATTGAACTCCGCCATGTACGTAATGTAAACTCTTGAATT